ACCCGCCATAAAGTCTCGATATATGTTTTTTTCAAAGTTTAACTTGCATTAATTTTACATGGCTTTCTAAACATGCAGCTCTTTTGTGCGAGACGCGAGTGCAGCGTTGATAAGCTGTCCCTCTAGAAAATGCGTGAAATATGTGTTCTGTGTGAACGTCTTGGTGTCAGTTTTGATGTAAACAACATCTTCTCAGCAGTGATGTCCTCCTTTCCGCAATATTTGTAATTAACAACACAGCCACGTCTCCGAAATCGGCGAAGCATATTTTCAAATAGGCACTGTCTTTATAAATAAACCGCAGATTTAAGTTTTTAAACAACTACATTCTCGCCTGAAATTCTTTTAAAACTACATTTCATGACATAATAACAGTAATATTTTTGAAAATTATGCGAATATGGAGGTTGAAATACAATTCTGTGTGAACTCAACCAATCAGCATGTTCAGCGCTCAAGTCCCGCCCCCGAAAGTTCCGGACCTTTGAAAAAGTACTACCTCGTGAGCAGGGACTTTCTGAGGGGCAAATTTTTATGAGGAACTTTATTTAGATCCTGGTTACTGCGGTAGAAACACACCGAGTACCGGCCCAAAGTTCCTAGTTCCTGGGGAAAGTTCCTGCGGTGGAAACGGGGCTTTTGAAATTCTTGCACTGTTTTGCTGCATTCTATTACACACCGCTCTGTTTGTTGTTAGGATGACAAAGACAGGTTTAAAAGTTACAGTTTAGGCTGGTCTGCCTCAGTGGTCTTACTGCGCTCGTCAATGTCAAAATGAACGAGATGACCAATCAAATCAAAGTAGGCAGAGCTTATGATCACTGAAGCAGAGCGTGAATTCCAGGCCGCACTTGAAATATCATTATAGTGCTCTTTTCTTTTTCGCTTTATTCATGAATATTGAAAACAGTGATGTGTAATAATATAAACACTGCTGTAAAATCATTTTGAGTGATATATTAGGTGAACAAATTGTTTGCAGGAGTAATAGCCTCTTTAATGGAAAAGAAAAGCAGTGCTGCCTCTAAAATGAGTCTCTATGAGGAGAAAGAGGAGGGAAGAACTCAAACAGTTACATCTCCAGAACCGAGCCAGGTGTCTGTGAGGAGTGAGAGATCCATAACTCAACCCCCTGTTCTAAGTGATGGAGCAGTGACTTCAGACCCCAGGCAGAATAATGTACAAGCAGCCCTGCCGGAGGAAACTGGAGACCTGCAGAAATCAGTGACTGATGAACTAAAGAGAGTCAAAGAGCAGCACAAAGCCAGCATGAAGAAAAAGTGTGAGATATTAACTGAGGGAGTGAAACTCCAAGAGAATGAAACTCTCCTGAACAGGATCTACACTCAGGAGTTTCTCGCTGCTTTCTATCTGTTTTACTGCTATTTAACAAATAACATGGAGCCACTGCATGAATTCAGACCTTACGGTTTTGATAAAGTCTCTCTGTATGATCTATTAACATCAGCAGTAGATAAAGCCCTTGAGAGTGAGAATGGACAGCTGGATCTGTTCCTGCGGTTCCTGCTGGGCGTCTCACTGGAGTCCAATCAGAGACTCTTACAGGATCTACTGACACACACAGAGAACAGCTCAGAGAGCATCAGGAGAACCACACAGTACATTAAAGAGAAGATCAGAGATGGACATGGACTCTCCACTGAAAGATCCATCAATCTGTTCCTCTGTCTGCTGGAAGTGAAAGATCAGACTCTGTCCAGAGAGATTCAGGAGTTTGTGAAATCAGACAAACACTCAGAGAAGAAACTCTCTCCTGCTCACTGCTCAACAATCACCTACATGCTTCAGATGTCAGAGGAGCCGCTGGATGAGCTGGACCTCAAGAAATACAACACATCAGCTGAGGGGAGAAGAAGACTGATACCAGCTGTGATCAACTGCAGAAAAGCCATGTGAGTGATGAATTATGTTACAATTTTTTTTTTCTAAATGGAATTACAGTTCCGTTGTTGTGCCAAGCGCAAATGTCATCCATTAATCCAAATGAACTTTGAGCTACATTTAATTAGACTGGTTTAATTCTTTCTTAGCTTACGAATTCTGCCCATTTTAATCATGGAGTTTAAGCCATTTTGACACTCTTTATGTGACGTAACAGAGTGTTGTATTTAGTCGCCTCTGTTCAAGTGGCAGCGCAGAGTGTGAGTGAATGGTTACATTTTCCTCTTTTCTACTAGTTACAGCACAAAATAAACGTTGTATCATGCCTTGTGTAATTGTTAATGTGACCGTGGAAAGACAGTTTGTGAATAACATGTCACGTAGCACTACCTCAGGAAAACCATTCTGTCTCCATTGATTGTTAATTTGCGAGAGAAATGAACTCTAGAGAGGCGTATTTTGCTAAATATATGTACTGTATTATATATGAATTTTATTTTATTTTATATTTTAGTGGTGTTTTAATTAATGTATGTTGAATATATCATGAAAAGATTGTGTGATTATACCACAAATTGGTGTAGAACCATGTGAAACGTTGATGTAAAACTACAACTCCAAAAAGCAAATGAATTTAAAAGTTTGGGCTCTGTCGATTTTACCAAGTAATTAAATTTGTAAATTTACCAAGTAGGTAAATTTGTTATTGTACTAAGTGTAATAGCCATCTCTGTATAGTGTAGAGCATTGGTTGAGAGAGATTCCCTCTTTCTGAAAACAACGTGGACAAGTACATTTTTCTGGAAAACAAATATAGTATAGTACCATTATCTCAGTACAAGTGCAGTACAGTTAAAGCACTGTTCTAAATTATGTAGCTTAATGGATATTTATTTTATTACATTTTTATTTATTTGATAGAATATTTTAGATTCAATTAAATTAGATTAGATTAAAATTTTACTTTTCTATTAGTTTTCAGACAGTTGCAGCAGTATTGACAGAGCCAGTTTGTTCAGTAAACTACCTTTTAACCTCTTTTACAAGAATGCAGTTGATATTATTTAGATACCAGTTGTAGAATGAGTTTAAGAATTTAATTCTCATGTGTTTTATTCTCTTTCAGTTTTGCTGGCTGTAATCTCACTGCTCAGTCCTGTGAAATTGTGTCATCAGCTCTACAATCCTCAAACTCTGTCCTGAGAGAGCTGGATCTGAGTAACAATGACCTGCAGGATTCAGGAGTGAAGCTGCTCTCTGATGGACTGAAGAGTCCAAATTGTCAGCTAGAGATACTGAGGTGTTAAGAACATATAAGAGATAAAATACAGTCAGTCAATGGGCCCTATCATACACCCGGCGCAATGCGGCGCCAGGCACGACGCAAGTGTTTTTTGCTAGTTTCAGCCCGACGCAGTTGTCATTTTCACGTCCTGCACCACATCGTTTAAATAGCAAATGCATTTGCGCCCATTTATGCGCCCATGGGCGTGCTGGTCTGAAAACGAGGTGTGTTCAGGCGCATTGCTGGCGCGTTGCTATTTTGAGGCAACTGAAATAGACTGCGCCATTGACCAACAAAAACCTGGTCTAAAGTCAATGGAGCAGTAGTTTTTTTGTTATTAAAACAGCGCGTTAGTATAGGCGGGTCCACAGCGTGCGTATACTCTGCTTATTACACACACAGGAGCACAGCAGCGCACAAAAATGCCAAATATTACAAATTAAAGGATTGCAATGTAAAAGATTATTATTGTGTAGGCTACATAAATATAAAAATGGCTACATGTCATTATGGATAGTCATTGCATGTATCCGAATTAGGCTACCTATTTGCTCGCGCACGAGCAGCTCCGGTTCATTTCTGGAGACACGTTCTGTCTTTGCGCTTGCAAATTCCGCCATGTAAATAGCAAATCCGCCATGGCACGAGCGCAACTGGCTCTTAAAGGGAATGAGAGATGAGACTCTGATTAGTTTATTGCACATTATGCCCAAAACACACCCATTAATCATTAAGAGAATAGGGACAACCCTTTTAGACCATGCGCCAGGCGCGTCGACCATTTTTCCCATCGATAAGCTAGCAAAAGTGGATTTGGACATGCCCTAAGTGCACCTGCACCGTGCGCTTTAGACCATGCTCTTAGATCATTAAAATAGGGCCCATAATGTTGATGTGTGTCTGAAGATGATCTGACTGTGTGTCTCTGTAGATGATCTGTCTGTGTGTCTGTAGATGATCTGACTGTGTCTGTAGATTATCTGACTGTGTGTCTGTAGATGATCTGACTGTGTCTGTGTCTGTAGATGATCTGACTGTGTGTCTGTAGATTATCTGACTCTTGATGTGTGTCTGTAGGTTGTCAGGCTGTATGGTGACAGAGGAAGGCTGTGGTTATTTGTCTGCAGCTCTGAGGTCAAACCCCTCACAGCTGAGAGAGCTGGATCTGAGCTACAATCACCCAGGACCATCAGGAGTCCAGCTGCTCAACCACAAACTGGAGGATCCAAACTATAAACTGCAGATACTCAAGTATGTGGAGTCCAATTAATAAACCTTAATATTTGCAGTGGATGAGGACATTGTCTATCGGCCCAACCCTAATGGGAAGAATTGTTCTTCACAGTCTAAATCTAAGAGAGAAATTGTTAGCTGAAAATATAACTAAAAATTAGAAGAGGGCATTAATTAGAAGATGCAAATTGGGTTAATGAGAATTTGAAGACTGCAGAGATATTTATAGTTGTAACATAACTCAATGCAAGGAAATTTAATATTAAATAATGTTTTATCCAAGACTATATCCATGAATAAAAACTTTTTGCTCCTTTGGCTGATCACTAGGACCTGAAAACATTGAGTCAAACAGCTCTGTAAAGCAGATTTGAAATTATACATATTAGGAAAAGCACTATATGTAAATTTGACATGATTGTATAGAAACGGACTGTATGTGAAAAACTATTCCAGCTATGCACAATTTGTGTTGTCTGTATGTTTGTTTCTCTTTTTAGTTTGGATCATGGAGGGCCCTTCAGGATCAAACCAGGACTTCGAAAATGTAGGTTTCTCTCTCTGACACAGACTTTAATTAAATGAAAACAACTGAGATTAATAAACTGTTTTTATTTGTCTTCTTGTGTTCAGATGCCTGTGATCTCACACTGGATCCAAACACAGCAAACAATCAACTCATGCTGTCTGAGGAGAACAGAAAGATCACGTATGTGGAAGTTAATCAACTGTATCCTGATCATCCAGAGAGATTTGCTGATATTCCTCAGGTTCTGTGTCAAGAGAGTCTGACTGGACGCTGTTACTGGGAGGTTGAATGGGGCACTTGGGCCCGTATAGCAGTGGCCTTTAAAGGGATCAGCAGGAAAGAAGGGACTGTCTGTAAGTTTGGATACAATGACAAATCCTGGAGTCTGAATTGCTCTTTAAAAGGAACTGCTGTTTGGCACGATAATGTCTTCACTATTGTCACACATTCACCTCCCTCTACTAGAGTAGGCATTTATCTGGACTGGTCTGCTGGCACTCTGTCCTACTACAGGGTCTCTGACACACACACACTCACACACTTACACACATTCAACACCACATTCACTGAACCCCTCTATGCTGGATTTAAGGTGTTTAAGTCTGAACTGTCTCTGTGTCAGATTTAACAGCAGACACACACAACTGGCTAAAATACACTGACTTCCCCTCTCTAACACACACACAGCCTACCTCTGACAATGCTTCCTACCTCCATTATAATCTTGGCTATATGTCTGATGACACCTCTAAGAATCACTGTGTACCGTATAATGTATGTTTTATATAGAATATAACTAGTATATAATGTGCATATATAACCGTATATAATGTAACTAAATTAGTGTATGAAAATGCAATACATGTAAACGTCTATAAAAACATGCTGTAAAACGTGAGTGTGTTAAAATACTAAATATAGTCAATCATAAAACAACACATGTGATGTGTCTTATTTGTTTTTACTGTATGCGTATACATTAAGTTATAGTCCGAGTCACATTCAGGCCATAATGTCTTCAGCATTGATGTTTGTGGAATGCAGTTTCACTGAGATCCTCCTGTTCTCTCACAGTTAAGTGTCTGAGGCAAAAGCAATTGAACCGGTTCCTAAAGACGTGCTGTTCCTGCGGTGTGTTTACTGTAAATCTGATCATAAGAAACAAGTGATCCGTATCCACACCAGAAATGTAACGACGTCAGTAGATAAGCAGATATGGATAAATCACTCACGGACACACTAAGCCAACCTCATAGTTTATATACAGTAGGCTATGTTTTTCTTTGAATAGACCTGCTTCAAACAAACGCTCACTAATGCACCATGGCAGAGGACCAACATATTATATTGATAAATTATTTAGACATTTACACTAGATGAGTTCATAACACTTTTTACTCATTTTATGTATGAACTATTTGTGTGAACTGTTTCTAAATGGACGTTATGGTGGATTGGGATAAGGAAACTGAATGCTCTTCTATCTCTGATGAACATATAGCGCCCCCTTCTGGGAAAAAACTAAGAACGTTATTTAATATTTATGTTCACCATTCACAGCTGAACTGAGAATGTCTTTTAAATTCCTGAATTTTAATTGAATTTAAGGGAAGGAAGCAGACAGGATTCAGAATTGCAATTTGAATGTGAATTCAAGGAAGCAGGGTTAGAATAAAAAATGGAATTCAAAGAAATTCATGTCTGATGTAATTTGATTTGCATTTCGTTGTGAATCATTCACCATTAATTGTTATAATACAACAAATGGGGTAAACATTCGATTAAATTCCTGTGTGAAGATATTTGTATTAAATGTATGCATTTCTTTATATTTAATAAAATGAATTTTATGTTGTTTAATAGTGCAAGAACACATTTGATATTTCTATCAGGATGTTGATTATATATGTAGAATGTAAATATCACTGATATGATGATGCTCTTAAATAGCTCAAAACATTGTTCTGGAGGATGAGACCCTGCAGCACCATTAAAACATAGCATTGGTCATCTCAGCATCAGGATTTCAACGCCATTGAAAACCTGATGTAATATATTACACAAAATAATACTGACGACCTGTTTGGAAACACTATGATTTCATTTAAAGGGGTCCTATTATGCTTTTTCACTTTTTTAACTTTAGTTACCAGCTAGCCAATCACAGCACACACTGGCCCAGCTAACCAATAGCAGCACACACTGGTCCAGCTAACCAATCACAGCACACACTGGCCCAGCTAACCAATTACAGCACATTTCGTATTTCAGAAGGCGGGCCTTCATTTGATACAGGAACTATTTGAGCCGTTCATGCCAGACTGGGGAGAGAGGTGTTGTAATAATGTAAAATATGTGAAAAATAATGTGCTTTTCGAACAACATAGTATGAGAGCCTGTTCTAGTACACCCCCAAAACAAAATCAAGACTTTGTAAAAGAGCATAATAGGACCCCTTTAAAACTGACTGACCCGCGACTCTTGGATCTTTATTGAGCTTTAATTTGTTTTACTCTAAAATCAGAGATGTCTGAAATTGAAAACGTAGGACCAAATAAGATTTGTGTAAACGGAAGTTTGCTTTTTATAATAATTACAGTATTTTAAAATAATTTGTTCTTCCACACCCACTGAGCGTGCGTTCGCTGATGATAGGCTTGTTTGAGATGCATAGGCGCTGCGCAGACTGATCGGCGTATGACATCAAAGTACCGCGAGAGCGATTCAAAAGCTTAAAGAGTCGTCTGCTCTGCATTCACTCTCACGGTACTTTAATGTCATACGCCGATTAGACTGCGCAGCGCCGATGCATCTCGAACAAGCCTAATATCCTCAAGAAGGAAGGTGTGGTTTACCTGAAGCAAGCCTGGAGCACGTAAACTACTCTGTGACTGCATCAGGTAGCCTACATGGAAGTCATGGTTGCTAACACACCCTGAAAGTTTATTTTATTTATTTATTTTATTTTATTTTTTGATAACGAACAACTTACACTGACTGAACTTACGCTCTTCAGCTGTTCAGTTATTATGAAAACCCCCAGGTATCCGAAAATAAAAGCCATCGACATGCACTAGACTGAAACATTCACCAGCAAGAGAGTTTTACTTGCTAAAAAGTGCGAAATACCGCATGTTCTGTCTTGTCTTATCGTTTGCACTCGTCAGACAAGGCCGTGTCAAGTGACCTTTTTCCTCCTCACCCCGCACTGTTTCAGAAGGAGGATTGTGTGCTTGTGGGGTCTGTATGTTATATTTACTGTTGTGTGAATGAACTTATAAGTTGATGCGAGTTGTTTGAGTGTGATTTGGGTGTCTGCCGTGTGTGTGTGTGGTATACGGAGTGTATATATATATATATATTTTTTTTTTTTTTTTTTTTTGGTTAATGGATTACGGTCTCCTATTTAGGGAATGTATAATGTGATTTTCATATGTTATTATTTTGTTATTTTTTGCTTTTTGTATTTATATATCTGTTTGAGATTATGATGTAACTAGTCAACTTTATTATTGTTTTTTTTTTTTGTTATGCTTATTTGATTTGATATTGGCTTGTGACAACTTGATGTTTAATTCGTTTTTCTTGAATTTGTGAAAGTTAAGGTATTTTGTCTATTTTTGCCATCTGACATGTATTCTTGATTGTCTTATTGGTTTATTTGCCCCTTAGTTTTGTCTTTATTTTGAAGCCAGACTCATTCCTCTTGTTTTGAACCATGTATGTGTGTGGAACTGTTTTTATACTATTTATAAATAAAGTATCATTGATATTTTTCTTTACATTCACGTCTCCGCTGTATCCTTGTGGGAACGAACCTGTGTGTCCTTGTTGGACCGTTGGGTGAAATTCCCAGGGTGGCGTAGTCGGTGTTATGAGGGGTCAGATGTCCAGTGGTTTCTAGGAATCCACTACCTTTGTAATTATAGTCCAAATTAATAAAAACGACAAATCCCTCGGGTGCCACATTTAGAAATTAGATATTGCTAAGAAAATAAGATGCTAAGAAAAAAATTAAGAAATACTTTGTTATTGGGCTTAAGATCTTTCCTGTGAACTTAGTGCCGCAGTTTCTGTACTGATTTCCATCCTTCATTTTGTTTTTATTGTTGTGGAGTTGTACAAAAATGTCTTTTCAAATTCCATTTTTTTAACAGTTCTACTTATAAAATCATCTGATTGTTTCAGATACAGTCTTTTTAGCCTTTCCGTATATTCAGTTAGAGTCAGCTTTTGAATGGTGATTGGTAATAGTGAGCTTTCCTATTGCTTCTCCCTAAAAGTGTAATTCCTAGAGCACTTTTATTCATTTAAGAAACAGCAACTGTTTTTATATAGAGTTTTTTTTTTTCTTGTCATTCTCATTTGAAAGAAAATATATTCCATGGAGTTTGAAGGTGGTATTCAGTTTACGTGTGCCATTTACACAATAAAATAAATGTTTCTGCACTTAATGTTGGCTGTTTAATGTGTTAAAGTAACTAACGGAATTATCAGCACAACATCTATTTATTCACTTCCTAAAGCTACGATCATGGGCAAATCCTAATCAAAGTCAAAGTTTATTTATAAAGCACTTTTTTTTAAAAAACGTGTTTACCAAAGTGTTGTACACGCATGAATAAGGCAATATGACAAATAGAATAACAAAGTTAAAAATATTATGAAATATTATAGAATAATGTAAAATAAAATTGCAATTTCACACAGTGTTAAACGCCATACTATAAACGTAGGTTTTTAAGCTAGACTTAAAAACAGTAAGTGTTTGGGCCTTTCTTACATGTAAAGGCAAATTATTCCAAAGTCTAGGGCCCGCCACTGCAAACACACGGTCACCCCTGCTCTTCAGCCTTACACGACGGACAATTAACAATGAATGGTCAGCAGACCTAAGTCCCCTCGATGGAGCATATGGCTGTATTAAGTCTGAGAGGTATGTCGGTGCCAGACCATTCAATGATTTAAAAACTAAGATTAAAATCTTAAAATCAATTCTAAAACGGACAGGAAGCCAATGAAGAGAGTCCAAAATGGGAGTAACATGTTCCCGTTAGCAAACAAGCTGCAGCATTCTGAACTATCTGCAGTCTGGTCAGGGAGGCCTGACTAGTGCCTACATAAAGTCCATTACAGTAGTCAAGACGGGATGAAATACAAATGTGTATAATTCTTTCAAAATCTTTGAAACTCAGAAAAGATTTAATCTTAGAACGTTGCCTCAGGTGGAAAAAACTAGATTTAATTACCAAATTAATCTGTTTATCCAGTTTAAAATCATTATCCATTAAACCACCCAAGTTCTTTACAGAGGGCTTCACAAATGGTTTTAAATGGTTTCATCAGAATTGAGCATCCTTGTGTCTTGCTCACTTCAAAGGTCAAAGTCCTTCAAGTGAGAACTCTGAAGGGAACTGGGCAATTGTTTCTGATAATGTGGCTGTTGGAAGACACTTGACGGAAGGACAACAAAAAAGCAAAAAATGTTCTAACACATTGTGGTGTCAATCAGCATTTATTTATTTTATTTATTTATTTATTTTATTGCAGACTCCTATTATGGATCTTTTTCACATTTCGGGGTTTCTCAGCAGCGGAAGTCGTCATACTTGGGTAAACTTCAATAGCTGTAAATGGGAGACTGCCACAAATATATTGTTTGCATTCTCATTTGTTCAAATAGCAAAAGAAAAACTCCTAATAACGGCAGTCAAAAGAGAGAATGATGTCAAATTTTCCATCCCTCCCATAGACGCTGTATTAGAAACACTCTCGAATTAGCGTTAACTGGTATTTTGTAATTTGATGCAAAGGTGATATTATACAAAGTATAGTGTTATAAATGTACATACGTTCTTTAAAAAAATGAAAATATAAAAAACTTTGGAGGATTTACGATGCTGATGACCGTTGAAACGCATGTGAAAAGGG